TCACATGAATCGATAGTCAGAAGTCACCGTTATTTACCTGTAAAATATCACTTTTTCAGAATAAAAATTGAGCAAACTATAGCAGAAATACGACGAAATTTTGAGGGCCTGACCATAATAACCCCAAGGCACTCTACGCGAAGAAGAAAGAAAGATCAAAAAGATGGCTTTCTTTGAAGTTGGAAGGTGAACTGAGTTGTATTGTAGTGCTGGAAAGCGTGAAATCTCAATACAGAGATCCTCGTATAAAAATTACGGTTACCTTAGGGAGGATCGTAATCGACTATTGCTAATATCTAGTGGTCTAGACGCCCAAACCACTTTTCTTTAGAAAATAATGCTCAAATTTTCATATGTTGTTTCTTTCCATTCGTTCCACAGTTCAGCAGCATCATGATTCTATTTTATGATTAGTCTATATAATACCTGAACAAACCCACTATGACAACGGTAGTGGAAAAATCATTCTTACTGGTTGTTGAAGACCATATCAACAGTTAATAAAGCCAAATAAAATATATATATTACCTATAATTAATTAGCACAGTTAATGTATATTTGATGTGTTATATGCTAATGAAAACTAATTGATAGAAAAAAATTATTAAAATGTAGAAGAAAAGGGAGATTTTATATATTTTCTCTCTTATACAAACACCACAGAGAAGCGCTTTACATTCTACGATTGCTCCGATGATAATTCTGATGGTTTCCCTAATTGTACACAAAAAATTTCCGTTGTTTCATCGTGCTCTTCTTCGTTTCGTGTGTCGTCTGGTGTTTCGCAGGGTAGCATTTTAGACCCAATTTTATTTCTTACATTCATTAATGATCTTTTGCCGTCTCCCAGGTCTTCTCGTCTTTCTTGTCTGTTTGCTGACAATGTCTTTTGCGTCATAAACATATTCGAAGGACAACAAATCTATCGATAAGCGTCTTCGTCAGTGTGATATAAAGGACGTACAATTACACAAAATAAAAAATATCAATGGATTTTATTTTCTTACTCTACAAGAACACTTACATCGCTCATGCTTTCAATAAAAAACATTATTATTGAATGAGTTTTATCTCTCAAACTACTTGATGTCATTATCTCACTTAATTTAACGTGAAAATCTCATATTGAATATGTTTCAAACAAATCTAGGCAAATATTAGGCTCTATTTCAAGAGTTTTTCGTGACTCGTCCGCTTTTCCACGTTACCATTTGTATAAAACTTGTGTAAGATCAGTGCTCGAATATGCTTGTATTAGCTATAATTCAACTTTTACTTCCCACCTTAATCCTCTGAACAAAATTCAATGTCTTACTAGTAGAATTAGTTCAAAAGACTTTACTAGTTCTACTTATTCACTCAAAAAATTTAAAATTCAAGCACTTTGATCTCACTGCTAACCACGCGTGCGAGTTCTCGATTAGGTCATTATAATGCCGTTTTCATTCTTCGGCTCAAGCTCTTTGCATCTAGCTGGTTTATTCCACGTGACTCAAAGGAATGGAATGAACTTTCACTGTTTAGAGATTAAAGCTATTAACTTTGAAGTACAGTGGGGGAATATTTCACCCAAATGGTTTGGTGTTGGACTGAGATGTACTGTTCACATAGCTGTGATTTAGTCTTCTTTTTGAAAAACGTAGAAAAACTGAAACTTCTAGTCAACTTCACGTGAGTCACCGGGACAAATACTTACCCTATCATAAAACAGATTTTTAAGAGTGATCGCTCTCCTACTGTAGAACAAAATATTTCTTAGTAGAGCACATTCCATCATTTTTCTTTTATGTTACGCCTCATTTCTTTTTCCCTTCATTCTTGCCGTCTTCCGCATGAGTAACCTTCTCGTTCTCCACTTTTCTGTGTGCGTGCGTATCGCTGAACACCTGTAAGCTTAATAATGATGAGGAAAATTACTTCGTATAGTACAGTCCCCTTCAAATAAATATATAAACAGTAAATACTAAAAGTATTCAGCTTTCTGTTCTGTAAGTCAGTACTTTCACAAGCTTATTAGACTAAACATGGAATATATCATACCAATCCATCACAATTTCTTTATTAAGTGAAACAAGACGTGTGCGATTTCAGCTATTACAAATACTTTATCCACAGGACTTGTTATTTGAATTGTAAACATGGCATATCCAAGATTTTATCTGTTAGCATTTTGCAGCTTAATTTCTGTCACACTTACACTGATCTCTTTCAGTCGAGGTTTATTTATAAAGAATAGTAATGGTTTGTTAAACGGACACATGACACACAATTTATCATCTTCAAATCATCATTTTATTACTAGCGGTGGTAGTAATAATTTCACAAGTTTCCACTCCACAACAACTTCAACATTTTTGACAGTTCGTGCTGTACAACAGAGTCTCAACAAATGTGTCGTTATACTTCGTGATAGTGTTGGGCGGATAGGTAATCAAATGTTTATGTTTGCAAGCGCATATGGCATAGCAAGGACGCATGATTGTTTGTTACATGTCAGTGAAAAAGCTCTCAGCGACTTGAGAGTGAATTATGAAATAAACCTGACCAATACTATAAGCAGTGCAGAATTCTCCTTAATAGGAGCTGCAAAAATCAAGTCTCAGCATAATGAATGCAGTTTTGTGTCTGAAATAATGAAAGCAAATGCTATCCAATATTTTGAATTGAAGGGATATTGGCAATCGTATGGTCACTTTGTAAAATACGCCGATGAAATTCGAAAACTGTTTACTATCAAACGTGAAATAATTCGACGAATAGCGCCATTTGTAGAAGCGGTATTATTGAAGGAGAAATTAGATAGTAACGTCGTATCGTACAACAATCTCAAAGATCATATAGCGACTCATTCATCTTTAGTATGGATTGGCTTTCATCTAAGGCGTACCGATTTCCTTGAACCAATTCATCAAGCTACTGGTCGAACTGTGGCTTCGATGACTTTTATCAATAATGCTATTGACTACTTTTCCATGCGTTTTAGTAACAAGACATTGTTTGTTGTCGCCAGTGATGATAAGGACTTTTGTGAGAAAGCTTTTAAAAATAGAACAAATGTTTTTATCACACCGAGATCTTTCTCTCCTATTGAAGACTTTTCCATGCTTTCTGTGTGCCAACACACTATTATAACTGGTGGCACATACGGATGGTGGGCAGCATTTCTCGCAGGTGGCATTGTGTTGCATGATATTGCGTATCCTAGAGAAAATTCATCGTTTGCATTAGTGTGTCCAAAACTTTGGCACTTCCCACCGTGGTTTATTTTCATGTGACTCAAGCTCACGGACTATTTAGCTTGTTACTGATTCAAAAATAAGATGTGCCAATATACAGTATACGTTTTATCGCTCTGATTGGAAAAAGGACCCTGGCGGATTTGGTGATCCCGTTGAAACAAGAAGCCAAGTAAACAGTTTGGTAAAGCAGCTCAAGATGCATCGAACGGTATATAGTGATGATCGTTTTCATACCGGCATACAGAATCTCTAGTCAATTTCTGGTCGGCCGTCACGATAGCTATCTGAACCTATATAGCTTTTAGTGCCATTCACCAGGAACGAAAAGAGAACGAAAAGAAATATTTCCAATCTATACTTCTGTAGATATCGCCTTGCACTACACGCTGATATATTCGGCGTTTCTGCTCGCCTCATATTGATGGAGAAAAATGAGACTTTTCATCGATTTATATGGTTTATCGATTTTAACGTTTCTCAGTATTTTGAGTCGTGTACCTCGCAAGAGAAGTGAACAGAGTCAAACTTTGCCAGAAACTGTGTGTGAGTCCGCTCTGTAAAATGCACTATTTCAAAATTCAGCTAAGGGGGCGCTTAGTACTCAAAACTGCTTCGCATTAAAAAGACTCTTCTCGCGTTACACAACGGTACGGGCTGACAATGAGTGTCAAAAAAACCTGCGTCATGTCTCTGTTGCAGTTAAAAGAAGATAATAATGGTAAAATTTTGAGAAATAAGCACGTGACTGCTGACAATCTTGATATTGTTATCAGGAATCAGCGTGTAGAGTCAACTGAATCGTTTACGTACCTTGGCTGTTTACTCTCAAATGATCAAAAATCGGACAGTGAAATTGATTTAAGAGC